GTACACTACATTTGATGTTAATTAAAAGATTATTTTTCCATGCATCTAGAACTTAACTGTTGAACGCATCTGGCCTCATATTAATTTGAGAATTAACTATCCTTTGAAAAGAATTTTGTATACTCTTCAAGATGAAAATAAAATTGATATGACATGTAATACAACAAAATTTTGCGTCTCTTTAGTTGTTGGACAAACGGCATCAGCTGGTATGGTAAAGTTTGTTTCCTCTTGGAATTCACACTTTATTGCAGGTTAGGTACAGGATGGTTTTGTGTTGTCATATGCATGTATGTAATTTTGATTGCATGCATAATTATAACAGTTTTTTGTGCTCAATTAGGCAAAGGAATACCGATACAGCTGAGTCAAGAGTCTTATGCTATACAAATTCCACCAGCTTCTTTACCTGATACTGATTCTGCTGTTCATGAATATGAACTATCTGGTGGCTTGTTATCAAGAAGTGGATCATTTGGTGTTGACCCATTAGAAAACAGAGGCGATTTACGTGCTATCAGATATGAAAGATTAACTGATGCTGTTGGTACTTTCGATAATATTTTCTCTAATGTTGTATCTGGAGATGGTCATCTTTTAGAGTTAGCAATATTAACATTAATCAACACAACTGAAAGATTGACTCAACTACTGTGACACTTACTATAATTTGAATTTATTAATGAATATTTAATTTATAAGAGTGATCTATAATAAATTAATGTATGTGGGCGTTGGTGCTACAAGCTAAACTGCTGCAGCTGCAAAATGCATATTTGCTAAGCTGCTGCAGCTGCAAAATGCATATTTGCTGACATCACAATTTGCAATCTGAATCTGCACTTGCTCCCCTAATAATGAACCTGCAACCTCGTCTTATATAAGTATCTAAATGCATATCTAGTATTGAAATGTTTTTACAAAGGCTCATTTTAAATTGAACAGTTATAAAAAAAGGGTGACAAAAAGGAAAACATTGATTTCAAAGATTGGCCACTTTTATACACCGGTTTGCATAACTGCCTCCACTTGATGTTGCTCTACCACAAGCTCTAGCTCCTCCTGATTGGTGCAGTCTAAACCTAGAAGGACAGTTCACTGTAGCATCAGTCATATCCAGATATCCTAGTCTTGTCCATCCTCCTCCTAAACCACACAGCTCCTCCATATT